TCACATTACAGTTTAAATGGGAACCCTTGCTGCATATTACACCGATCCACGGGCTAAGTATTCATCCCAGAAACATGGACCAAGTCATCCATAAAACCTGTAAGCACCCACTGGAGCCTGAGGATGGATTGGGTTGAGCCGACACGCTCAGGTGTTTGTTCATGTTTGTGTTCTCATGCATCTTTAATATTTGTGTGAAATACGAAAACATTAGACGAGGTATGACTCGATTTACCTATGTAGCAACAAAAAAATATCTATATTTTGCTGTGTTTACTGGTGAAGACAACAGTAATCTCTCACATAGCGTGCAGTTGTTTCTAAAAGCAAACAGCAGAAGCCTTTTCGGCTCTCTTTATTTTTAGGTTGCAACAGTCTCCCCTCCTCTCCGCTCTTCTTTGCAGGCCCCCAGTAGCCAGAGGGCACAATCACACAACCAGAAAGCCAATCAGGAAGCTTATTAAACATGACACTCCCTGAGCACACTCAATATAGACGAAGGACACACGTTCTAAGGTCTTCGTGCCAATTAGGAAAATCAGATCAATCACAGCAACCACTGTGAACTCTTTCTCCAGCACATTATCTCCACAAGTCACTGAAGGGTCTGGCCTCCTTTGAAAAGGCTTGTAAGAGGCAAGCAGCGCTGGGCACAATCACACAAAGCTTTTTACTAAATAAACAACTAAAAGACAGACAGCTGTCATACACACACACACATGCACGCATGCTCAGACTCCAGAGAGTTTTTCATCACAATTTAGCCACAGCATGATGTGACGCCCTGTCTAGAAACCAAAACACAAGCAGCTTCAGACTCCTCCTGTGGCACTCCTTTTCACACGTTTTAATTTCTGCAAAGTTGTCATCAACCCTTTGTTTTGCGACTCAAAATCTCGGCTTTGCGCATGAAGTTGCTTTCCAAAGAAGTCAGTTAGCCGGTTTTTATGTACAGAAACATGTGTGCCGTCCGAACCGATGACAACTTTGTACATCTCATTCTCTATTTGTGTAAGAGGTTTGTGAACAGCCTTTGGTTCAATTACATAAAATTACAAATTGACCCCTGGACTGAGCATAAGTGCAACCCACCCACCCTCCAAACCCAACAACTAATTGGAAGAAATGGATGGTTGGATATTGTCGAAAGTATAGACACTGCTCAGTTATCTCCTAATATGTACTGAAAGACACAATGTGTATACACGTATATATACACACACATATCTATATATATATATATATATATATATATACACACACACGCACACTTCATTTTACATGTTCTGAACTGAGCTTGTCAAAAGGTTGTTGAGACATACTAATAGGCCTGCTCAACTAGTGATGATGAAAAAGATAGATCTGCTCCCAAGATCTAATTTCTAAAGTCAGTCACTAGAATGCTGGAGGCAAAAACTTCTTCTGCACAGCATAAAGTGATAAAGAGCACTAGCACCACCTATGGACAAGACTCTGTACACTGGAAATGATGCACTTTCAGACTTGTTCCATGTTTTTGCTGGTAAAGATTGTGAGAGTAAATCACAGGATACTTCATCATTATAAAAATGTTTCAGATCCCAAAACCTGAATGTTTGAATTCAGAGTAAATGTGACTATGTTATACCATTAAACTAAGGAGATTTGTTTCCAAGTGACTGGTTTATTTTCTGCTTTTCGTTTATTCGAACCTTTTAACTAACTGCCATGAGTCTTTCATCTGTGGAGTCTTTGAGCTTTTGATCTGCTCAGGATCAGCTTTCCCCGGCAGCCACAGTTTCCCAAAAGCCGCTCCAAGCTGTTCAAAGAGCTGCATTGTCCTCCCTCACTGTAAATGTCACATTCAAGAAGGGCACACAAGCCCTCGACAGGATTTAAGTAAGGCCAGGAGAGGGGGCAGGCCATTATTCATTCATCTTCTAAGCCTTTACTGTCTTGCCAAGATGTGGACACTCGAATGCTTGTCCTGCATAAAGATCATCGTCCTGTACAAGCGCACAGAATCTGGATATTGGTTTGGAAGCTGATTACTTTTAGAGTTAATTAGATCAGGAATGATTTAGTCTGTCAATAAATAAAAACTCCTTTGTGCTCATTTTTTCCCCCCGAACTTGGTGTTTCAAGTTATGATGGTTCAGTGGTGTTTGTCTTTAGAGTGACAGCATTTAATTGCTTCTTCCCTCTCAAACATATCATTAACTATTCATTCCTAAGCAAAAAATCTTAATCTTAATTTAGATTTAATTATGACATATCTCCAGTAATTTTAGAAAAAGAAAAACAGAACTAGCCCCATATATTTTTAATCCACTTCTTGGCTTGCAAGGACGGCAGCTAACTTGTAATTTTCCATTTCGTCCAGTAGATGGGACAATGACCCAAGAGAAAACCTGTAAAAATTTGGCTTTAATTCATAAAATCTCACAGGAGCTCAAGTTCATACAAAGCTGTAACCAGTACTTTTTCACCCCCCACTGACACTTTGTGAAAATATTGTACAGGAATTCATGAGCAGCTTGCCTGTGTTGACATACATAACCTCCTTTAAATGACTCTCCCACATTTCCAAAGACAAAACAAAACAACACTAATTCATTTGACTTGATATGAAAAGAGCATGCAAGAACACAGAGCCCCGAATACAAATCCCCAACTTTTGCCATAACAGTGTGTGTACAGGCAGCACGAAAGAGGCAGTGGCTGAAGACCGCTTCCCTGGAGTTTGGTGAATATGAAGATCAGTCCTGTCAGGCCAGGTGTGGCACACAGCTATGACAGATATGTGGGACATCCCGTTTCCAGCTGCTGAATGGAGCAGACAGCTCCCGGCCTGTCACGAGGAGAATTAGATTAGTGCCTGAGAAATGACAGAGGTGAATTAAATAACCCCTCAGAAACACCCAGCTGAGCCTGGTAATTCAGTTACAAACTCCCCAGTGGACAGGTGCTCAAAAATAAAAGTCAAGGCCATGTGCGTCGTCGCAAATCTTAGATTACCATTCAAGCCAAGTCCAGCTTCTTCTGCGTTTCTGTCAGCTTGTCCTGCAGCCGCTTCTTCCTCCAGTCGAGAAACTTCCTCCTCATTCTGTTCGCTTGCCATCCCGTCAAGAAGCCCACGGCGAAGGAAACCGCCACGGCGACTTGAAGTGTCCTCTCCGAAACGTCTGCCATGTTCACCTCTGACTCGCAGCTGCAGGCATTTGTGTAAGTCTCTCAGCTACACTTTCTGTTGCTCGTACCGGAAGTAAAACAAGCGTGCTCCCGCGATAGTGCCAGAGCGCGTGAATCTCGTTAAATAAATAAATACTAAATATTTGTTCCAGTTGTTTATGGCTGGTGGGTGAATAAATAAAACTCCAAGCATTTACGTTTGAAATGTGTTAAACATGCAAATGACTTAATCGACAAATGAAAAGTGACCATAGTTATTTTTAACAAGCACCTGTGCACATTTGAGTTAAAATGATGCTGTTGACGATTTTTATTTTTTTGTTTTAGCTGCTAGGCCATAACAGCTGATAAAAGAAAAGGACGTTCGATAAAACAATACAATAGTTTAATAAAAGTACTTAACCTCCTGAGACCCCAGATTTTAATTGGTATGCATTTTTGCTTTTTTAAAGATATATGGGATTAGTACAACCTACTAAGTTTAATAACTAAAATTTGTCATGGTACAGGTAGTTGTGCTTCGTATAGGCTCAGTGGGTTTATCTTTATATTTAAAATGCTAGTTTATGTATCTAATTAAATGTTATTGGAATTTTGTTCTGACAGTCCAAATTACTTATTAACAATTTTTTAATTACGCAATAAGAACATTATTGGTTGAAAATGTATAGCACCCATTTTACTTTAGAGTGTCTGATAGCGTCTGCTATGAGGCCAAGAGGTCAAAGTTGAAAGAAAAAAGAAGTATCATGGTAAAGAGAGGCAAAAATGCTATGTCCTCTTATGAGGACGCAGGGTCGCAGGAGGTTAAATTCAAATTATAAACTTGTTGATAAATTATCATTCCAAGAAATCATTTAACTAATGTACACCTTAAACAGCATCCATTTACGTTTCCATTTATGTTAGATAAGACTATCTGGTCATCCTTAAGAGGTACTCATTCAGTCCTTTCAAAAAGTGCACTTAAAAGAATCACTAAAGAGATATAATGTTGTCATAAAGACACAAAGAGATGGGGAACAGTACAAATGTTACAGAAAGTGGCCACACAGAAATGTAAATGACAAAAGACAAGACGTAAACAAGCATTTACCAAACTTAGGAGAGGAATACAATTATTTTAAAACATCGTAAACAAAACTTAAAAATATTAAAATAAACAGGATGGTAAAAATGAGCCAAAAAGACATCTAAAAATTTAAAGTTGTCCAAACAGTGAGGCAAAATTAGATTGTACATAACATGAAACATCTCTCTGTGGCCTGTGTGGACACACTGAGCACCTGGGATCTAGACAGCACATAAATGGCACCATTGTGTAAAGCCCAAAACAAAGCTAAAACATGTAGGTGGAAGTCAGAGGTGATAAACACAACTGTGGAATTCCAATAGATATGCAAAAGTAAGGAAAAGCATGAATTAGAGATTTCTAATAAGTATCAAATCAGATAGCATATTCATACAAAGAACCGTTTTATGTATATTTGTCAGGCTTACAGCTCCAAACATGTCCAGTTTGGTGCTTAAAATCTGTGCTTAAAATCTGGTAAGAATTATCTTGGATCATCATCATGAAATCTGCATACATCAAATACTCCAAGACCCGCAAACGCCTGTCACACAGTGGGGCTTGAAGCTAACTCATTTGGCAACTAAGATTGCAAAGTGAGTAAGCAGCTTTTAGTTAATGGCAGAATGAGCAGAAGGAATTATTTCACAAATGTACCCAGCTCCCCGGGTCTTATAATGCACACATGCCTGCCCACAGCTCCCTTAGGTGCAAATGGTGATGAAATATATAAAGAACTCATACACAGAGAAATATGCTGTATTTCATAAAGGTCTGTTTGTGATACAGAAGAAAATTTCAGCAAAAAAACAAACATGAAAGATTAAAGAATATAAGGGCTGTACAACAAATTTTAAAAGTTTGTGAAATTATTACATGAAAAAAAGTGAGTCTGAGAGGTCAAAGGTTGAAGAATGCTTTCATTGTTATCTTGTCATTCATTTATCTTCACAGTTTTTGGATGAAATTCTACTTAAGCAAAGGCCTTTGTTTTCAAAATTATAAAGAGGTATCGCATGAGTAACCTGTAAACTGTCCAGAGGAGATTTGGATGAAGTGTGTGAGAGGACTGATGATGCTACAGTAAGTGTTGAGTCTGTAGAGGCAATCACTGCTCAAAGGATCAACAAGCCTTAAAATTGTGGATCACTTTGCTTTTTGTCATAGCATATTGTACCCTGTAGGTTTGCACGCTGGCTGTTCAGTGTCTCCTTGTCTCACTGACATCATGAGCACCATGTGTGTGCAGGCAGGCACGCCTGATTCCACTGACTTGTGATTTAACCGTGTGCTTTGCAGACAAAGTTGTCACATCATAACAAACATTACGCGTATAAAGCACCATACAGTTTCCCTGTTGATACAGTAGCCGTTTTTATGATGTGTTCCAACGAACGCCGACGTAAAGTCAAGTTTTGACACAGAGTAGCTGCCGTCTGTTTGCAGAAAAACTATTTACATTTTAAAGCCTCTCAGGTATCCGGTAAATCAAGTTGAAAATGGTTAATAGCTTCAGCAGCAAATAGTATGGTAAAAATGTTGACCATCAAAAAGAGGTTCAGGTACAGTAAAAAACAAAACAAAAAAATTTAAAACGTCAGGTATGAACTGTGGATTGTGTCCATGCTCTTTAGATGATGGCTCAAGAAGTCTGAGAGGCTTCCACTCCTCTGCAGTGAGTCACAATCGATTTTGTTTGAGCCTGTCGATGTGGTAGCAGAGTTTTAGCGCAGGGCCCAGCTTCAGTCCCAGGTACTTCATCATCATCTCACTTTTCAGCAGTAAGAGGGCATCTCCATCTATTTCCTGATAAACATATAGAATTAAAAAAAACACAACGTAACATGAAACAAAAACTATTGCAATCAGTATTTTTTACCCTGTATCTGTATTTATCATGAAGCCTGAACTACCTGCTGTTCAGTCTATTTCTTCTAAGTGGGATAGGATGGATATTTAGTTGTGTGTTTGGTGCTGAAAGAGCACTGGAGACTTTATTGCTTCAGTACTACTCAAAGTGATTTTATCAGCTTTATTAATGTTAGCTTCTCCTTTATGAAAGATTATTAATATTCTGGGACTCCGTGAAGGTAAGCTGAGACATTCCCAAGTGCAATTCTACCCAGCTTCTTGCAAAATGTATCTTTTCCAAAGCAGAACAGGGCTGCATATGAAGCTAACTTCTCATATTTCATTTTTCAGATACCCATATCAATATCAAGAAGTCACACTGAACTCACATGCTTTCTAAATGCATCAGCATGAGGTCCGAGGGCTTGGGGATCAGCCTCCTTGATGAACCACACCACATCCTCTATTCCCCAGCTGGAGGGGTCCATGCCAGCAGGACGCTTGCCCTCCCCTGAGTCAGGCATTGGGCTGTAGGCTGTGTAACATGGAGGGTTGATCAGTTACATAAATTATGTTTGAATAGTAAAATAACGCTGATAAGACTTTATCTCCATGAAAGAAGCTAATGCATTATTCAAAAAAAGACTGGAGACAACATGAAAAATGGAAATTTGTAAGTAACTACTTAGGTTTCACTCTAAAAAGAAACAATATATATATCCTCAGAGCATTATTTCGATAGAATGTTTTCTATACTTTTAGTCTGAACTATGACATTGTTATAATAAATGCTTTGGGCCAAAGTGATCATGTGGTGAAACATATCACCAAGTAGCCGATTCACTCCATTCTTAGTCAATACACAGTTGAAAAACCATAATAAAAAGAAACAACCTCTATAGGTTATACCCCGCCCACTTCCCCAGCTGGAATGCTGGGCCACACAGAAACAAACCTCCACACTCACACTCACTCTTGCTTTTAATGCAGAATTACCAATTAATCTAACATGCACGTTTTTGGACTATGGGAGAAAGCCTGAGCACCCAGAGAAAGCCTGCATATCCCCTATACACTGGAGTAATAAATCTGGCCTCGCTCACATCTCTCACACATGTGAGGTGTGTTCTGCTACAGCTCAGTGCAAAGTAATTAAATAGACAAATAGTAAACTCTGCTGTGATCAGGAACTCAATAAGTTGACCCTTTTTCAACTATCCTGCCAGCTAATTACACGGCCTTCACACCCATTTCTACTATCTGTTCCTAATTACTGAGTCTACATGATTTGTAAAACATTGCATTCTGTTTTAATGTTGCTAAAAATCCATTTTTATCTGAGATTGAGTTGTTGCTCAAACCACAAGTGTTCTAAAGTGCTGCTTCCAAACACTTCTGTGTAGTTGTAGATTTCCAAAAGACAATTGTAAGCAAAACCTGGGTCACATGTCCCATAATAATCAACATGAATCACAATGGAAACTGTTGCACGTGAATGAATCAGTAGCCGCTGAAGGACGAAAAAAAACATCTATAAAAACAACTTTAGTTTGTCTTTAAGGACAGGACAGTCATTATGAAAAAAGGTGTGCGTTTCGAAAAGATGAGTGGCATTTTTTTCCACTCCCCAAAACTTCAGTGATCAGCTTTGAACTCTGTGTGCTGGACGGTCTGAAAGGAGCCCTCTGTCTGCTGAAATATAATCACAGCATTTCACTTTACTTTCAGTCCAATGTAACACGAGCAGGACTGCATGCATAAAATACAGTGGATTTGAGTCTTTCAAGCTTTTTAGACAGCATGTATAAAAAAAATATTGCTTATCTTTAAACAAATAGAAAAATAAATATCTTATGAAAGCAACAGAATCCATTTAAAATGAGAGGCAGTCGGTTATTCTTGTGAATTTATTCCCTTTGTTGCAACCCTTTTTATGTGCTTGTCAATAATGCAGATGCCTTTTGGTTCTTGGAAGAGCCAGCCAGCTACGGATTTACCTACTGACAGATTAAAAAGGTAGAAAAAATCTACAGAAATTCTTCAGAATTACCTCAACAGCATGTTCAGGCAAAGGTCACATGTATTTCATTGTATTCTGAAAAATCAATTACGTGATAAGATCTGCACATATAAATATGAAGGATTATGTTGTGACACACAGACACACTATTAAACGCACACAAAAAAGACTACCCTCATATCTACAGTAAAATGTGAATATTTCTGTACTTTTTTTGTAAGTAACGAGATATCAAAATTATTTATCTTTGTACGTCCTTGAGTGAGTTCCTTCAAAATTTCCCCCCCAAAATTATATTATGAATAATGAATAGAACACATTTTTACTGATTAATGCAAAACAGAGGTAAATCAAATCAGCAGAATCTCACTTTTCCAGTGTCTCAAAAAGCCCAAAACAGGGTCTGTTATGAAAATATTTCTCCATTTCACCAGAGAAAGGATTTACATAGTCTGGGTGGCACCACAGGGAACACACCGCTTTGTGTGTGAGCCTGTACGTGCATCCACACTCTTCTTCGGTATGTCTACACTCTAACATGAAAAACCTTTTATGATTTGCAAGAACAAAGAGCAAGTGGTTGGTTTTAGATACATGAGATTCCCACTCCAACATCAAACAGACTAAAGGCAATCTTGAAATATTTGATAATTCAAGACAAGACAAGCAATGAGGGAAAAGAAAGGCAGCATGACAGCATGAAATCAATAATTCCTTTTTGTAAAATGATTCTAAACATCTGATTATTCTCAAAAACCAAGAAAAGCAGACACTGGTGATTGTACAGATAAAAAAGACAGATGTCAGTCACAGATATCTGTATAGGAAGATGTATGCATTCAGATACTGATTTAGAGTCAGAGTGGGTATGCGGGTGATAGAGGAAATAAGACAAAAGACAAAAAACCACAAGTTGTGAAATTAAAGTGAGAATATAATCATTTTAACCAGCCTTTTCACAATGAGAAGAAGCTGGTTTAATATTTTCTGTATATTTTGTATGTTGTGTCCTTTTTTATCTGGAGAATAAACTATTTATTAACCTATTTCCACATTACAAAACAAAAATTGTATTAAGGTGTTACCTGTTAAAACCTGTGACGTGGCAGAGTGGGGGACGATGGCAGCATCCTGTGGGATGGAGCCCATCTCTGGTTCTGGTGTGATGCCGGGAGGAGAGTTGGCATGAGGGGACATCAACATTCTGGACTTTAGCTGCACAGGTACGCACATACAGGCATTTACAAATCACAGACACTCCTGTATTGCTGTAATTCTCATTACACAAATGAAAAAACAATCATTAGGTCAATGGAAATTCTTCCATTATGATTTTTAAAAAAGCTAATCATCTAAAACCTCTACCAATTGCCATATTTTTGGCATTATCCTCTGGATATCAGTTAAATGACTAAAACCCTTGACTCTCATCAGCTAAATTAAAGGGTATTTGAAAGCTTGATTCTTTTAATGAATGGAACCCTTTAAACCACTAATTACCTTTCAAAACTCGAAAGTTACCGAGTTGCTATTCTAAGACGTCAACAGCACATTCTGAATGTAACACTTACCTTGATGTACCCAAAAGCCAACTGACCAAATGACACAACACGATGAGCTATTGAAGGTATTTACAAAACCGGTCTGCTAAACAGTCCAAACCGCGGGGGAGGCAGTCGGGCCACAGGCCAGAATAATGAACTTTACGCAATGTCTAATTATGGGAATTGATTCTCATCTAATTTCTATTTGCAGAGCATTATGCGTTTCAATCATTATCATACAATAACCCATCAGATTAGGTTTTTTTAATCACAGGTGCATAACCCCAAAGGAAGAAATCGGTCATGATTTATTTGCAGCTTTTTTCTTAGACAAGAAAAATTCCAAAACCCATTCAGAAATACTCCAAAAATTACTTTTCCATATCATTGTGGCAAGATGGATCATCTAAAAATATATAGAAGATGTATTTGATTTAAGGAGGACTTTAGCGACTACAAAAGTAATCATACAAAAAACAAAAAAAAAACAAAGTTGGTAAAGTACGTTCTTTGAAATATTCACAATCAGAATCAGGGATATTGTTTTAATTCCTGGATGGATTTTTTTGGGTCACAGATGTTCACCCCTGAACTTAAAGGACAAGAAAAATATGTAATAGGAGCTAAGAAACATATATTTTAAGATACAATTAAAAATTCAGTTAAATGAAAAAAGAAAACCATATTTGCATACATATATAGTAGAACAGCATAATTTCTAATTTGTTTCTGCTGTTTAACGCAAAAAAGACCTGTACCCTTACTGTCTACAAGAAGAATATTAGAATAATCTAAGACTAAGTAATGAGTGTATTGGGCTGAGAGAGTTCCCAAAACAGATCCGGTATTATGCATGTCTACATCCTGTGTGAACCCACAGGTAGGACTGCTTTGTTACTTTCACTACACTGCCTTTGTACACACTGTTTGATTCTCATCTCAATGATTCAAAGTGAAACACAACAATGTCATTTACCTTAAAGCCAGGTTTCCTGCCTCTCTTCTTTGGAATCTTAAGTGGCAATAGAGGCTCATAGTGGCTCTGGAACTCCAGTTTCCGGATAGGAGGCCGTCCCCTCTTCCTGCCAGGTACCTTACCCTGAGGCCCAACTATGAATTGGGGGCCAAAAGTAGAGGTCTGCATCTCCTGGCTAGCAGAAAAGGTACTCATCAGACCTGAGAGAGACCAAAAGATTCTTAAACCCAAAATGAAAGGGAGAGGGTGCAGCATCTTTATCTTATTTTTTTATTTCTTTAGCACTCAATAATGCCTCAGCTCAAAACTGGACTGGAAACTTAGCAAACACAACTGACACTTCCCCTTTAACACACATATGCACTCACTCTTTATCAAACACGTATATGCTGAGAAACGATAGGAAATAGTACGACCAGAGCCACATAAAGCTTTGTACTCAACCACACCCCTCCCCCTCTACAGCTGCAAAGATTGCAATAAATATCATTACAGCACAGTGTGAGAGAGACAAAGACCCACACATACACACACACACTCCCTCAGACACAAACAGAGGAAATCAAAGCCCTGCACATATAGCCACAACACCCACATGATCAATCAATGAAGTCTGCAGCCGCACAAACATAGCTGTAGTTTCAAGTGTCTGACTCAGTGCCATTCATTCACAAAGCTACTGCGCTCACAATACGGCTCTCTCAGGCTACTGTGCGTCTCTGTGTATTCGATTCAGGCAGAATAACCACTCGCCTCATATGCTCTCTGATTCAGAACCTGCTGTACTTGATTAACTGACGCTGGTGCTGACAGACACATAACATTATTTCATTTCTTTAGGACTAACAAACGGATGTATCCTGGCTCCTGCGTACACCGATGCAATTCAATGTTTCTTTTTGTCATCACACTGTGCTTGTCATCTTGCAAAAAAAGAGGAACCAGAGAAAGGAAACACAGCACGTGAATATGCACGGCACCCTCCAGCCGCTCTCTAACGCTGACACGCATTGAGGGGAAAAAGAAACAATGGTTCAAAATGACTCCGAATCTGCGTTACCTACCATGCACACAGCTGTCTGCTTATTTGTGAGAGTGTGTGTGTGGCGGCAGGTTTCCGGATCCTCCCCTGACAGCTCTGCTCGCTCCAGCTCTGCTGCTCTCTGTCAAGACGCCGGCAACTCTGCCAGCCCGTCTCTCTCTTCCTCAATCGGCGACCACCTTCCTTCGACCCAACCCCCTCCTCCCCTTCTCTGCTCCTCTAACCCCCTCTCTTCCTGTGTGTCCCCTTTTAGTCGCCATGGCGACCTGCCTCTAACATCCCGCGGCAGCCGGCAGACATGCTGAGCTCAAAGCGGTGTCTGCCTCCGTGTGTGTGGGGCTGTAATGTAATTACAGTTGCTGCGGCTCAGGGATATTTTTTGTTTGTTTGTTTGTGTTGTTTTTTTGTTTTTTTTTCTCACGGCCGAGGGGTTCAAACTGTGCAGGTTTTTTCTGTTAGAGATTAGAACCGCACTGCATGCTGGACTGATTCCTAAAATAATTCACACCACAGGGTGAGCACAGACCTGAGAAAATAAATCTTTCAGTTTACTCACCGGTTCCTGACCCCGTCTTATATTGACTTCAGGTATGAGATCAATTTTCCCTTGAACCTCACAAGGTTACAGCAGGGTGACGGCAGCTTTTGTTTGTTTGTTTGGTTTGGATGAAAGATCACATTGCTGCCAGTGCTCACCGCCTCCCTTTGGTTTTTAGACCTTCTGCCCCCGTGTCAGCTGAGGTGCGCTGCCTTTCTGTTTTCTGTGATAAATACCACAAATTTGAAAAAAGCAAAAGAACAGCCAAAGGCACACCTGTGTGTACTCCCCCAGACAGGTATTCAAAGAAACAGCAGATTCTCAGCTACCTTTTTGTTCTCACACGCTACAAGTGTCAGGATTTCCCTCCTCACCACACATCGATTAGATACGCTCTGGTTGCCATGCCGATTCCCATTCAATGGCAAATCAGTGGCTTTCATCACCTAATAGAAATCTGGTTAAATTCTGAAGCAGAGGACCAAAGGCAGACGTGCCCTCGCTGGTAAACGAAGCCTCTGCCGGAGTGTACTGAGATCTGTCCGAATTCCGGAGGGAAGCAGTCCCTCACGAGGTGTTTTGACGCTGAAAGTGACAGACCAGACGTCAACCGGGAGCGTGATAATGAACGAACGGCAATAAAGGGCGAGGTCAGCACGGTTAGGTTGTAATACTCAGCTTCCTCCACCCTGAACGTGGTGGTTGGAGGCCGGCGTTGCGCAGAATGGGGCCCCTATACCATAAAAGTAATTACAGAGCAAGATTAATCCTGATGACTCCTCCATCAGTCCTGTCCCATTACAGCAGATCACACTGCTCACAGAGGCAGACTGAGCCAGAACACATAATCATCTCTTACTTATAAAGATTGTTATATCAGAGGGGGTGGGTGTGTGACATTAACGATGAAAGACAACAGCAGTTTTTGCACCACCGCACTGCAGTCTAGCACAATGCATTTGGGACCAGGGCCTAATTTGTTTACGGCTAATTAAGCAATTAGCTGATCTGTGAACCCTTACATCTTATTTTATTGTCAAACTAAAGGACGGAGCCTCTTTTTGGAGGCAGAGTGTTTGAAAGCGGTGGGTGTTTCGGCCACAGTAACGCTGCAACAATCAGCAGTGATTAGCATAACTTAATCACTGGCTTCAGGGGAGGCAGATTTGTATCTGTTTTCACTTATGGAGAGGAGAAACTGCGATGAAGTGTGTTATGCTAATGTCTCACTAAAATGTACGCCTACGCAAGTACAAAAATATAGCCTAATCACTATGAGGCTCACAAACGCACCAAAATAGATGCAAATCATTTAAAATATGAGTGGCTTTCATCTGCAAAAGGCCTACTCTCACGTGAATATAGAATTGATTAGTGTGTGCCTGCATGGGTATGTGTGAGCGTTGTGTGTGTTCTCCAATCAGTGCACCAATGTAACAACAGCCCCCCGAATTTATTTACAGCTCAGGCAGGGCGTCTCCATGGTAACAGACGGTGAAATCGGATTCTGTGCCAGAGTCATGCAAAAAGGAGGGAATAAATAAATGTAAACAAAACAAAAATGCCTTTATTAAAGAGGCAAGCTCACACACTTCATCACACACCCACACGTGCACATGCTGCCCCTGCTTTTCATCACTGAGTGCCACCGTAACAAAATTCGGAGGAAGGGCATTTTAAAAATGTGATAATTTATAGCCTAAAATACAACTTCAAAATGGTCAAACGGACGCGAGGCTCTGATTCTTCACAATGTTGAATATTGGCTTGCCTTGTGGCAGTTAACATTTCCAATGGCTTCACACCTAAACTTGTCAGAAAAATATGTTTAAAAAATCCTACTTTGCGTGCAAGTGTCAGAATCCTGGCGTCTCAGCCTCTGATCGCCCGGCTCTGGCTCTGCCTCCAGGTCGACCAGATGCCAGCAGCCCCGTCCCCGGTGGTCATGTCGGTCCAGGCGCAGACGCAGCCGGACGCCGGGGGGCAGCCAGGTGACCGGATGCAGAGGAGGCGCCAGCTCCTGGTGGAGGCTGGAGTCGAAATCCCGGCCCCCTCGCAGACTCATGCCCTCACAGCCCACTTTGGAGAACAGAAGGAAAATACTCACATGTCTTTACATGTTAGCATGTGACATACTCTTGATTAAGCTCTAAATAATTCATTTTCTCTGCATTCGTCAAGATTTCTAATTCATTTTAAACCAACTGACCCCTGTGCATGACAGAATTTTGAAATGACAAAAAGCCGGCAGGCTGCAAATTAGAGGGAGTATGAAAAAAGAAGATGCAGAGTGGAAGGAAAAGAAGTGAAGAGAAAATTGGTGGAGGTGGTTTAGCGATTATACCAGACAGTGGAGACTAATGGGAAAATATGGCTTTACTTGTGATAAAAGTATTGGGGACAATGTATCTTTTGTGCAGTAAAGTAAATGACATTTGGCCTCCAGGGTGCTGGATTTACTGATTATGGTTAACTAAGCTGAACAGGGAACAAAAGCAAATGAGGAGGGGAAAGAAGAAAGCTAGGAAACTTGTTTTAGCTAAAAGCATATCTTATTTTCAGTTAATTGTTAATCGCTATTTGGTTACCAAGGGTGCAGCTTTATTTACCACCTTCAGGCTTAATGCGCATAATCCCAGCTATTTCAGACTTTTTGTTGTCTTCTAGGCTAAATTCCTTTTTTGAACAAAGATTCAGCTGGAGTTCTAAAGCATTGTGCAATCACGAAAAATATTAATTAGGTGGGGTCCTTTATTTTTTACAGACTTTTTAATGCTACAGCTTTATGGATTATCAGAACATACAGTGTGACAATTATCACAAATATCCTTCATTTTCTGACTAATTTAGCTTATTCAAATTGAAATCAGATATTACAGTGATTGACTACATTCTCCATATAAGTGAATCCCGATTAACAACGCCCTCCCCCAGCAGTTCAGGGAGAGGAGGACAAATTACGCTAATGTCCTTCAGGATGAGAAAGAAAACACAACAACGATGACAAACAAACAAAATCAAACTATTCTTTCGGCAGTTTGGGTGCATTTCTTGTCATCAATCATCATCAGTATCAAATTAATCACACAGTTTGGGAAACTTAGAGATGTACTTTACAAACCCTAAGCATGAAAATCTAAACCACAAGGCAAGCCATTTGCCAGTTGAATAAAGGTTACAAAAAGGATTGCAAAAATGTCATGCTTGATGGAGCTCAGATTCTGGAGAATGAAAAGCAGGGGTCTGCTATTATTCCCCACTCACCCAACAGGTGAGAAAGTTATCATCCAGTGGCACAGTGTAGCTGAATGGTGGTGGTGGGGGGGGGGGGGTTCTTAGACAGACATGTAGTAAAAAGAAAATGCAGTGATGATGCATTTTTCAGAATTTCTGCTTAATCTCTTTAATTCTCCAATGAAATTGGGTCATCTTTTTGTATACTTAGAGAGCCAGTTATTCTCATTTACCTAAATTAGCCAAATTAACAAGCTCAGCTGTAATGGGAAGAAGGATGATGATGCGTGATGATCTATTTTGAGTTTACATATGACTGTTCAAATGCTTGTGTACAGATCCATGAATCCTTCAGTCTTTTGGGGGGCCCCTGTGCCTGTCCCAAAACTGAGCTATTTTCTATACATGCATGAAATACTCTAGTTTTGGGTAGAATAATCATACTCTATACTCTAGAAACAAGGACAAGACAGTGTTTAGAGTGGAGACAGGCTTACTTGGATGTTTTTCCTGCATTATAATAAAAAAGTGTTTTTCAGTTGAAACACAAATGGAAAACAACAGCCTAATGTTTTTGTATGCAAAAAATAATGATAGATTAAATATCAAGGGGGGGGGGCGAATGAGAACATGAAGAAGAAATGAGAACAGAATGGGAATTCGAACAGAAGACAACTGAGCCGTGATGGGGGGGGGACAAAACACATAAAACTGTCAGTTTAGATAGCATCAGAGATTTTTCAGAAAGAATTGTCCCCAATGTAAAAAAATCCTATTTCTGAAAGAAAAAAAAAGAAAACAAAAACATCAACCAATCCTGCTGAACACACAATAAAACATTATACAACCCAGTGCGCACAAACACACACACATATTTACATTCAGGCCCCTTAAAAGAAAACTATGCTTCACATTTCACTAAACTCAACCTGTGCACGACTGCAGCAGCCTGAAAGAATCTTCAAACCAAAATCACACAAACCGTCCTGCTGAGCACTGTGAAGGACATAAAAAATGTTGGAGAAAACATAAAAAAGGGGAGGAAGAATATTCTTGTGGATCATTGAGTGTTTTGTATATGTTTTGTAGCTGTAGAACATTGCATTCATTATTAATATATTGAGCTGGGCCACAATTAGCACAGCAAAATGTATCTTCAACAAAGTCTCAGTTATTTCTGTCTAATTAAATTAATGATTGAATTATTTATGTCTGGAAATGAGCAGCGCACATTTTCTGCACATGCTGCATTGTGATTCCTTTCACAGAAGGGGGTGTTATTATGAGTAAGAGGATATATGAATCATGACACATTATTTTGTTCGGCCGAAATGATCTGAAATTTTTGTACAATTTCTGAAAAGGAGGGAAAATGACACACTTTGCAGAGCAATTCAAAGACCATCACAAAAAGCAGACATCCTGGGAGTGAAATCAACATTCAAAAGCAGAACATTTGGAATTCTTAAGTCTCTTAAATTAAAATCAAACAGGAAGCTTACTAATTGTTCTGGTGTTTATCATTCAATAAATTGTCCTTATTTTTAACACAAAAGCAAAAGCTCAAATTTGACATCTACAGTTCAAATTCAATTCAATTGGAGCATGATGCTAACAATGACACATTCACTGACAGGGGCTAACGGCAATAATAATAGATCATGACGTCTTCACTGCCTTTCTTGCTTTTTTTTTTTTTTAAACTAGTGTTGATGTGTTTATCATAAGACAACAGCGGATGTCCCAAGAAGTGAGGTCACACTGATGCAACCCTTTATTAAGCTTTCATTTTCGTTGGGTCCAGGTTGACTCAGCTCACTTAACTTCAAGCCCAAAAAAAAAAACACATGTTCCTGCTGATATGAAGCCTGAGGGATAGCTGCTCAGGGGCTCTTCACCACTGAATATGCATTATTTCTCAATCAGAAAAGGCATCCGATCTGCACACACACACAAACACACACACACACTTTATTAATGCAATTAAATACTCCAAGGGTGCTAGAGGGCCAACACTTTAGTGTTAGCATAGTCAGATATAGCAAAAATCTTTCCAGTGAAAAAAAGTCACTATTCTAAAATGTAGAGGCAAATATTTGTCTAAAAATGGACATTAATAGTAAAAACTCAACTTTTGGCCTGTAAGGGGATACTGTTTCAAATATTAGTTACTGCTTAACCTTAGGAATATTACACAATATCCCATGTTGAGCATCTGTATGAATCCAAGGCAGGGCTTCTTTAGGCATAAAGCAGAAGGCTCCATAAGAACACATAAGAGAGTCAGCATATGAGTAAATGTTATTTCCATATACTGTCACCTTCTGCTGCAGCCTCGTTGATATGCAACAACCTTATGCTATTCTTTTAACTACCAGATAAAGTAAGGTCTTCAGATATGTCTGTGGCAGGTGTGTTTACCTGTTTCAATCGGCTGAATTCATCGTTGGCGATCCTCGTCGCCGGCGGGCCGGGAGGGAAAGTAAGTGTCAAAGAAAAAGCGTTTGCGGGGTTTTTGGGGGATCATTGCCCTATCTGGCTTACCAATTGCAGGCTATTTTATTCATCGCTTCCGCTTAAAAAAATACAAAAAATAAAAAGCCAGGAGAGACAGCAGCTCGGACAGAAAAGCGGAGTTCATGCCCCCTCTGAAAACAGAGTTCTGCTTACAGGACATTCTGTAAGATAGTCGGTTTATTGCAGCTTTTGCATACATTTATCTCCCTTTAACGTACGTTTGAATGGTTTGCAGGTAGCGTAATCCCCTCAGAGCCTCATAAACGGGCCGTTAGGCGTTGGCGCCATGAAACAGCTGTTTAATTTATTTAGCTATCGCACAAAGCTGCACAACGAGTTGAGGGACTTCCCACACTTGTACATTTGTAGATAAAGAGGCTATCTCAACGACCAGTAGTGCCACCAGTAGCAGGGAAAAAAAATCTACAACGGGTGATGGGTGGGCTGGTGAAACTGGTGTTTGATCCTCCAACGGGTTGAGAGGAAAACAGACACTTGTACAGACGCCTGGAGGCCCTGAGATGATAATTTGGGCATCATAGCATGTCCCCAAAGACCAAAACCAACACCTGACCCCCTTTGACAGAGGGGGGGGTGATGTGTTCTCATGATTTAGAGAAAGCACTAAGCCACCTTCTGTACCCAGTAGCCCCCCCACACACACACACAAGCAAGTCTGACACCATTAAAAAGGCTTCCAATGGCTCTACTTAGGCCACAGAGTGAAAACAAAAAGTCAGACCCTTCATTTAAAATCTTTTATTTGAAATGATTTTAAATACAAATAATATATATTTTTTTCCATTTACAATGACAGTTCCTTTGTAAACAAAAGTGGCAGATCAATAGTCATTTGGGTAGTTGCTTGTCCAAACTGAGGCGGATGTCCGGCCGGTCAGCCGGTCAGCCGGTTAAGGTCTGTCATGGGAGAGGCGGTGTCCTATCGAACCTCACTGCACTTCTCTTTTCCGTCCCCCCCTCCTCCCCCCCCCCCCCCTCACCCCGACACACACAGCATTAATCACTGATGCTACATTCTATTGCAGAGTGATAAATACTCAGAATACAATATTAACTGTTAGCATACACCTGCTTTGAACAGTTACAGGAGGGTACAGTGCGAGTGTGTGTTAATGGGAGAGCGCGGCCTCGAATGTTTAAAATGTCACCTCTCTCGCACCAACAACACAACTACACACTGCGAGAAAATTAAGTGTTGTAAGGATATTAATTGTGTAAGGTTATGCGTTTCACTTAAAAACTCATCCTACTGAGTAACTGACACAGTGAGAGCCCACAGAGCAACAAAGGTGGCTCTGATTTTCCTTCCCCCCCTCTGCAATCCAACATGTAAAAATCAAGGTTAGAACGCAATAAAACAAATACTTGTGTTATATTTGTTATAATCACATCTTAGCTGAAATGCAACATTTAAAAACTTTTTGTGTAAAGATTTAAATGTAAGGGAGGTCCTCTCACTCAGCCAGAATGGCTCTGCATTCCTCAGACGAAAAAAAGTAGTAAATGCAAAAAACCGTCCAGGTTTCCATTTGAAAAAAAAAAAAAGAATCAAAAAGGTCTTCACTCGGGACGGCTCTGCGGTCTGGCAGGGAGCCGGTCCTCAGATCTCTGACACGTGTTTTACAGACAACTGCAAAACATCTCACCGAGGGGTTTTGTGATGGCAAGTGATATGTGTTTTACCCCGAAACACAGGAGCTATTGGTTACTATGAACAGGCAAACTCTAAACTGAAACAAACGTCAGAATTTTACACAAAAAGCTAAACTTTTTTTATTTTTCTCTTTTAATCCACTCTCCCAGGAACCATTGGTGCATAGCACCCAAGAACTTGTAAGCGGTGGTATTTCACTTATATTCATAAGGCCTTTTGTTGGACAAAGAGTATACACTGGAATGTGCTACAATTGTTTAAAAAAAAAAAAAAAAGAAAGTATATATGAAGATGATGTCAGAATCTTCGCCCCTTAAATAAACCTAAAGCTCACCAGTTTTATGTAATATTTGAAGAAGAGTTCTCACAAGTCAATCGTTTAACACTGCAAGTTGTCTTGTTTTCCCCCAATGATATCTGAGGTCTCAAGTCATGTCAAAATACACCGGCTTTCAAGGAACAGTTTTCTTTCGAAAAATGAAAACAACTAATCACTAGAACAGGCATCACTAACGGAACTGATCAAATGAGCTCTCTGTAGACCTTTCCTTCCACAAACAGGAAGTATTAGTGAATGAATGGGAAGTGGAACAGTGAAGGAGAAAAGAAAAGAAAAAAACATGTGCCCCTATCCAGTTAAGGAGAAAATGTCCATATGGTCGACTTCCAAATTCCTGGATGCAGAAAGCTAAAGCTCACACTTCTGCAGATTGTGCACACCCTAAAAGTATCATTTGGTGAAAAACACTGGCGCCGGGGGATTTTTTTTAAAAACGGGAGCGAGTGGTGACATGATTTCCATACAGCGGTCGTTTGTTTATGTTCATTTTGCAAATGGAATTAGCCACTTTACATCCACCATCTCCTGATCAAGAAAAGAAGAAAAGACCCCATAATATAAGAATAGGTCCTCCAGTCCACAGTGTGTACATCTTTCATACCTGTACAAAGACATACAACATCACACACACACATACACACACACACACACACACACACACATATCCACTCTCGTGCACACTCACTCACACACACGCAGGCCTGGTAGTATTCACAGAGTTTCCTTCCACAAGCAGCGGAAAAGTGAACGCACAAGTCTCTGTAGAAAAGGGAAATTGGAGTTGGGGAGGGGGGGGTCACAGTTTCTGACATTGTAAAGGTAAGATGGTGGAGGGCTCCGTGTGTAGAAACTGTCCCCAGTTATTTATTGTGTGTGTGTGTGTGTGTGTGTGTGTGGCTTTGTTTGCGGCAGGCACAGCTTCGCTGCTCCTAGTCACTAGTGGATGGGTGGCCGGTCCAAGAGAGGGGGGGGGCTGAACGCACGTGTCCACACATTCAGTCGTTGTCCTCGTCGTCGTCGTCGCTTTCCTCGATGCCGTCGCTGTCCTCCTGCTCCTCGTCCTCCTCCTCCGTGTCAGGGATGTCCCACTGGGGGTGGTTGTCCAGCATGGCCTTGGCCTCATGGACTTCCAACTAGGAGAACACACACAAAAGACGGTTTAGTGCAGGAAACTGGCGCGGTTTAAAATGCTCCGTCATATTCTTTTGATGGTTTCTTTACTGGCCTCTTTAACAGATTTGCATGCATTTGGTTTAATAAAATTTGCTTTTAAAGAGGTCGTTTTCAGACAAATGTGATTTGTTCCCAGCTTTGTAATCAAACCTCAGTGCACTAATGGAAATGAACACACTCTGGCAGAACAAATGTTAAAAAAAAAGTAATCTGAGCATGTATTGAGACGAAATGTGCAACTGTTTTGCAAACCTTAAGTGGTTTGATCTGGTCGAGTCCCAGGTAGGAATCAGAACGGAGGATGACAGAGTACTGATAGTTGCCCGTTTTCGAGGGAGCTGGAAACTTGAGTTCCACCTGGAAAACAAAACCACATCTGAGAGTTAATATCCCCATTTCTTTATTTCTCCAGGAAATATATCTTTGGCCCTTTTCCCCCCAAAACCTATACATATAAAGTCAGTAAACCATTCACTAGGAGTCGGCTCCATTATCCAATGCAAATCATCCAAGCACCATTGATGAAATGCTTTAAATGGTATTCAAGCAGAGAATGAAACATAACAAACATCTGTTCGATCTGTAAGGAAACAAAAATATTCCACTCTAACCTGCCATCGTAAACCAATCAGAGCATTTAAGTAATTTGACTTGCGTTTTCTATTTTTGGGGGATCCACAAAACTCAAACTGCTCAGCTGAGCGAGTCCAAAACTTAGAGCGATCTCAAAGCTGGTGCTTCTGCAAGCCTTTCTGTTGTGGGAAAAGCGCTGCAGCTCTTAAGGCCAGAGTTGTTTCAGTCGTCTATTTCTAGTAACTGAAAGCAATCCAGCCCATGATAAGAGGAGCCTTTTTGCATTCTTTTTAAAAAATATCTCAGAAAAAAACACTGACTGTATTGGTAGGAGTATACACAGCATGGGGAATCCAGAGCCATCTCAGTTTGGTAAGTGCATAGGCAGGTATGAGAGGAAAAAAAGATCATCCTTTAGGAGACCACTTAATAATGTGCCTCTCTTCACAAGACTCATTTTATTGTAAATAACAGAGCTTAGCCTCACAGTTTTATACTGAAGGAAACACACAAATCAGACTTTTCAGAACTATTTAAGTGATAAACTTCGAGTCTGAATTTATTCTTGTTTTGGAAAGAGGCCAGATGGTCCCTTATGTTTGGAGAACACCCTCGGCTGCAGCCAGAGGGGATATGGAATATTCTAAACTGATGAATTTCATCATCATTTATTTGACTACGTGTTATGTATGATGTTGCACAAAAGCTCTTCGTGATGACATACACACACACGCGTCTGCTTCAAATAAAGCACAATTACTACCTTAAGTGGAAAAAGTGGAATTTAAAACCTGAATTTATAGATCACCCATCAGTGGAGCTGCGCTATGTGGTAGGTAATCACTAATGAAACAGCACATGATAATGGGATACAAGTGTAAATATCGGAGCAATGCTACCTTAGGCCTACAGGACTGTGCAATTACATCCAGCAAACATCTAATTATGAGGACAATGAGGCTAATTACTCCATGTGAGAGGAAAAACTGAGCGGTGAACATGGCTGCCGTTTACTACTATTAGCATCTTGTTGTGAGAGTAGTTCTTTGTACTAAAGAAAAATACAGAAAAAAAAACAATCCAAACTGGAGGCATTGACAAACGGACAAACAGTTGAACTGACAGACTCGCAGAAAAGGTGTGCTCCTTTGTGCATGAAAGGGGGCACCTGGTGAGATTATGTTTCCCCAGAGCAGTGACAGCTCTCAGTGAGGTTTTACCTCCCTGTCAATCTGCCCTGCTGCTGCAGGATTCTGGGATCAGAGGTGGAGAGAGTGCAAAATAAAACACACGCACACACAAACTACTCAAAGGGAATAATAAGAGCAATGGGTTGCCTAGCAACAGGATATGTGAAGGCTTAGTACACAGGAAACAAAAACTCAACAGCAACTTATTAAGATTTCTGAACAATGGAATTATTGCACAGTCCACAAAATAGCATCCTAGTATTTCAATAAAATAATGGCGATTGTTACTGTAAATAACAGAAAAACTCCCAGTGGCTAACGTTTTAGACCTTCTGCATAATGTGAAGTTACAGGGAATTCCAGTACAGCCACACGGGCCCCGTCTCACCTCCTCTGTGTCTTTTAGCGTGCAAACGTGGTACGGCATGGAGACCAGGGTCTGGTCTCGGCGGTCAGCGATATAGAGCCACCACCACTCCTGCTTCTCCTCCGGGTAGTAGAGGCTGTAGACCGGATGCGTCACCTTGGACTTGGTTTCCAGCAGCGCACGCTCTCGCCGCTGGATGCTTTGCTGCAACGCCTCCCACTCCTGGCGGGTGTGGAGAGGGGAAAGTTAGATCAGGCTGTAGCCTAAGTACCAAACTAGGCAGCTGCTGAAAAGCTCAGCAAAGCCTCTAAATCCTCATCGTGTGCTCTCGTGTAAAGATGGCTGACCTCCTCGTCGTCGCCGGCCATCTCGTCAACCTCGGTGTCACTTTGTTTGTCGCTGTCTTCGTCTCTCTCGCTGGGAGAATCCTTGTTGGCTTCACCCTCCTCTGACTCGCTGCCTTTGTCCGAGGCTTCGTCCTCTTCCTCCTTTGCTGCTGCTGCTGATGACGCTGCAGCAATTTCCTGTGAGAGCAATGTTCATTTTAAAGACCTGTATGGGAGCAGACCTTTTTCGAACAATGTCATATTCTAAAGCATTTTAAGGACGCAAAAGGCGACTCAAACTCAGAGAGGATGCTTACATTTCCTGCTATGTTGCCATTAGCCTGCTTGGATTTGGCAGGAGCAGGAGTTGCTTTCTTCTTTGTTAGTTTTTTCTTCTTTGACTTGGCTGTCTTCTTAGCGCCTTTATTCTTGTTTTGCCACACTTTGGTTTTTGCTTTACTCGTGTCTCCTTGCTTCAATCCAGAAAACAAAAACAACATAAGAATTCTTCCAAACAAAAAGAAGAAGAAAAAATAAAGCGGTTTCTTTTTCTCCTACACAGATCCGACGCAAATCATCTCTGCATAGGACATTTCCTAATATGTCCTAATCTCTCTGTGTTATCCTTACCGTTTCCTCTGGATTGGCAGTGTCCTCTCCCGGACATTGCGTAGAGTCCTGCTCTTTTTCAAACATGTCCTACACAGATCAAATGAACAAAAGGTTATTGACACTTTCCAGCCAGGAAATAGACAGCAGTGCACTCTAGTGGCCTTTCGGGGAAGTGCATGCACATAAAAGCATTTCAAGAAGATCATGTTCACATTCAAAATCACATTTAAAAAAATGACAACTTACAGTCATTCGTTTCCTGGTTAAAGTGACAGTCACTGTGACAATTGAGCCCGCTGTGATGTTGTTGCTGTCCTCATCATCAAGGACTGCAAAGACACAGAGAAACCACAGAGAACAGGTCATACAAAGATCCAAAAGTTTTCGTAGTGAATCGGCCCACCTGTCCTGACACACCGATTCCAGACTACAGAGACAGATACAACTGGTCACTTCTGAATACAGAGGCTGACGCGGACGTGGTCTCTTGTGGTCATTGCATTTTGCTTTAAGGGCTGACCTTGCAGTTTGGTATCCATAGTGAGGTGAGGGAAGCTGCCCAGCACAGCCATGACCTCATCGTACTTCTCCTCGCCGAGGAAGCGCAGCATGCTGCGTCTGTCGGAGTCCTTCAGGCTCACCAGGTCCTGCAGGGTGCGCACTTTATACTAAAGAAGAGAGATGCAACCATTAGTAAAAACTTTATTTTTGTCTGTTTGCATTATCTTACTGTAAAATAGTGCAATAGGAATGTCCTCATCAATTACTTTTAAAAGAATACAAGGAGAGCTGCAATAGCGTTCTGAATTTCATTCTTTTTAACTTCCAGCTTCTGTGTGTTGACTCCTGTAGTTCAGTCAAAGGACCAACACTGTTCTGTTGTTAGCAAAGCTGTTAATCACAAAGCTTAAAGTGTCGTTGCAACGTCCACCGTCGCTATTTAGGAAAGATACTGAATGCAGTGCAGCCTTTAAATCCTGACTAGTTACAATATGAACTAAAACAGGTAAACGTGGTGGAATACTGAATGAAAGAGGGTCTATGAGGGTGGGAAGTTACCTTCTTAGAAATGCAGTAGCGCAGGTGCTCCTCCTCAAAATGAGGCAGCTGCAGCAGTGGTGACTTGGACTCCTGCAGGCCCTGCACCGCCATCTGAGTCAGCTTCATACAGTTCTCGATGGTTACAAGTCGCGGAGCGTGGAAACCTGAGGAGGTATTGTGAAGCTGACATTGAGTGTGCGGGGGGGGGGCTGGCCGTGCTTCAAAGTGATGGTGAGGATGCATGTACGTGTACCTCCTCTGCTGTTTGCCATCATCGTGAGCTGGCAGCCCACGTTGATCATCTCCTGCAGGAGCGCTGGACTCTTCCTCACTACAAACCTCTGATCTGGAACAGAATCACACAGAATACGCTCTGAATAATTTATTGATGACCTATTTGAAGTAAATAGATAATTAGAATAAATAGATAAATAAATGGATAAGTGGCAATCTTTTTAAAGTTGGCAAAACTCATAAAACCCTCCCCTCCAGTTTTGAGTATGCACACTACCTCTGCACAGGGCTGCGTATGAAAGCTTCTGCGTTGGCAACCTTACCATGAACAGCTTATACGAATGTTTCATTTTTTACTTTTCAGGACTCTAAACCTCCTGCTGTGAGCAGCTTCCACTGCTGTGGAGCAGGCTGCTGAGGGGCATGTACAGACAAGAACTCTGGCAGTGTAACTGTCAACAGGGTAAATACGCAAAGAAGCTTGTGACTGACACAAACAAGCAAAAGCCTAAACACCTAAACAGTGCTGCTCTTCAGAACTTTTTGTAATGCGAGGTAAAGATCTTTTTCATGGCCACAAAGATGCTGCATTATTTAATTCTAAGCTACTTCTGATCCCTCCAGTAAGCTGTTGTATGCAGTACACATAAACATCTTCACTAAAAACAGGAGGGTTTCAATCAAGTAAAGAACATTTTACGAGACTTTGTTACTTTGATTTCTACTCGATTTATCCGGCTTCCAGACATTGAACGGCCTCTTTTAGCAATCTACTGCCGGAGACTTTCAACACAACTCAATGCAAATTTAGTTTTGTTGCATGAAAATAAGCTTTGCAGAAAAATGTGAGTTCAAGATAATAAAAACTGCATTGAGGAATACAGGCAGGACTATGATGCACAGCTGGTGTCCTAAGCATTCTAAGTTCAGTCTTACCTTCCTCCAGCTCCTCTGACACGTCCATGCGGGCCAAATGGGCCAGCACCAACACCCGGGCCTTCAGACTGTAGGGGTAACAGAAAGGAGGCTCCTTCTTCTTTACATTGATATTTCCTAATTCACGGATCAACTGCGAAAAAGAGGAAAGACAGAATCGTTGTTTTCTACACAGAACACAAACAACCATATGATCTCTAAATCTGATGTAGATGTCACGATCTGGTTTGGGAGCTTGTGTTTTGTAAGCTAGAAAGTGAGGAAGTCACATCTATAACAGGTATGAAGCTCTAAAAGTTCCTGCAGGCTGCTATCACGTGTTGGCATAAAGAGCTCCTGCTGTGGTTGCAGCGCAATAAAGCTGAGAAACAATCTGTCCAACAATCTACCTGAAAATAAGCCCAGCAGGACAGGATGTAAATCTCTGAGTGGATTTCACTAATTTCTACTGCCTACTTCCATCATGTGAAAGAAAATCCTGTTGTTGGATTTTGTTGGCCCAAAGGAAATTTGATCAGACAGGGAACACGGCATCATCATTCCTCAAGAAGCAATTTGGAGAGGAAGGACTGAAATTGGACATACTTGCTAATGGGTTCGTGCTCCACAGAAAGAGCGCCACATTATGCGAGTGACATTTTTACCTGTGGCACTTCGATGTTGTCTGTGGGTCTAATGGTGGCTTCTTTGTTGCTGCGAGGGTCAAACTCAAAGGCAGCCGTCAACACCATGGTCAACCCTGGAGGCAGGGTTTCAGAAAAAAAGAATGAATAAAAACAGCGTAAAAAGAAAAATTGGAAAATGAAAACACTTTCACCCAATCAAGCTAAATACAAATACAACTAAATGTTACATTAATCGTTTTATTAAATAAAAAAGCACTTAGAACTGAATTCGTCACCTCCAAAAATCACTTAGACCACTTTAAAAATAAGTGGAAACTCACGCTTCATGTTCATGTTTGGCGTCTTGTACATGAAATGCATGAAGAGCTGGGTGGTGTTGATGAGGATCTGGTCTCCGCTGTATCGGATGGAGCGGTACCACCACGTGCCCTGGAGAACAGCCAGGTCACAAAACAGCCATATATGATGCGAAAAACCCAACTAGAAAATAGAATTACTGCAAAAACTCACCACAACCACTGGAAGGATGACCATAAAGGCCAGTCCATACACCAAAAGCACCTGAAAGGAGAAAAGCCAACCATCAGAGCACACCGAGGACCACATTTTGAAACCCAATAAGCAGGTCTTTGGTCATTTGTGAGTCAACTCTCAGTGATTCAAATGCAAACCGAAATAAATAAATCACAAGACGTTTAATGAATTATGGGTGCTTACCAGCATCGAGTTCTTCTGGTCGACAATCCAGGCGGGCAGAGCGATGCCGAAACTGGTGGCTACAAATAAAAACAAGGAATCAAAGCGTGAGGTGTTCGGTAAACCGTGTTTCATCTGACCCGCCCCCCGAAACTCCAGGGCTGCACCTACCTCCAGGGCCGTCGGGGTTACCGTACGTTTGCCAGTTCTGTCGCGACTGTTCGTTGGTTAGACTGCAGGAAAAAACAAAAAAGGCCTTTCTCACTTAAACAGCAATGCCAATGCATGAAGCGACTTCATTATTCAAGGACGCCTCGTTTCGGTTAAAAGACAATCTAATGAAACGTACGCAGCATAAGCTTTGGCAATCCTCATGAATGTGGCCTCATCACCACCTTTGTCAGGGTGGTACTTCAGAGACAGAATGTGATATTGCTTCTTAATAGCTGCCAACGATGCATCCTGGGGACGAAAAAAAAGAAGAAAAGAAATTAAATACAGTCGCAGCAGCGGAGCCCATATACTTCGGGACTTCTGTGACTAATCGGAACAAATTAATAGTATTTTAATTTTTATGGGCTTACCGGGTCCAAGTTGAGGTCTTCGTATGGATTGTATTCCTGGTACTCTCGGTCCAGCTTGGACACCTTGTAGGCTAGCAGCAGGAACACAGCCCACCCAAACAGTAAGGCTGCTTTCCTGAAAAGGTACATACACAAAGAGAGAAACAAAACATAAAAAATGTCACTCCATCGCTTGTTTTTTTCGTTTTTAGAAACTCTTTACTGATTTAGGTCACCATCAAGCAACAAAAAAGAAAATTTTTTTTTTTTTAAAGGGCCCTCATTTTTGTTTTTCTGTCTTTATGCAACCACAAGGGAGAGCCACGCTCTGATACTGTTTCTATTTGGTATATGTAAAATGAAAGTTTAACTAGTTTCCATGACATTAACGATTTAAAAACAGTGGCATGAGCTGCAGCGCCTGTTGCCATGGAAACAGCTAACAAGCCACAGTAGTAGCTCAACCAAAAACAATCCGTGATGTATTCCTGTAACCACCAATAGATTTGACACATCTGTGACAGCAGAAACAGACGCGGACAAGTTAAGAGGCCAATCTTCATTCAGCTTCACACAGAAAGCGACAACAGCTGGCAGTGGGGGGTTTATACACGCTAAAAGTTCAGTTTTCCACAGTAAAAACAGCATGCTGCTGTAGTCGCAGAGCCAGAGAGTATAGTGGGCGTATGAGTACAAACAGCAGAGAATCTGCTATAGCAAACAACTCTGACATTAAAGATCGTGGAGGCTTCAGAGTTTGACAGCAGCAAATGCACATGTTATCCGTGTGTTTGTGCTCCAAAGCACTTATCTCAACAGATACATGCAACGCCTGGGTCAGTCTGCGTTGTATACAATGTGGCTTAGGCTCACAAGAGTTGTGACATCTCTAAATGAACCAACGGGACAAACAAAAAGGGGGAAAAAATGACCATTTTTAAAAAGGTGAATCAGCTCAAACTGTTTTCTGAGTTATAAACACAGTCTAACACGAGATTAAAACCAGTCAGAATTCAGGAGAATCAGTTATGGTTTCCTTTAGTCAAACATAAGTTAAACTCTCAGATATTACCAGCTGCTTAGGAAGAACTCTTTAGATGACATAAATAAATAAATTTTTTAAACAGGACAAGCACTGTTCATACACACAACGATGAAAGGTAAGGGAAGCCCAACTCCAAGTCACTGGACTCACTTTAGTGTCGGGACAATACTCTGCTGTGACTTCATCAGCCGCAGCCGATACCACAGACACCTGCCGTGGACCCTCCGCAGGCTCTTCAGGCGCAGTTGTTCTGCAGGGGGGACGGACAGGGAGAGGTCAGTGACACGCCATCACAGTATTCCAACCACACTCCGGTGTGGGTGAGGCAGCTGGGGCTGGAAATGAGCACCACGTCATGTAAGGTGTTGTGAGGATGCAAAACAAGGAGGTAGATGTAAAGGTTTGCCTGCTCTGGTGGAAATTGTCATTAAATGTGTAACCTGACACCATCATTAAGGTAAAGGATATTGTAGCTGAAGATCCAGCAGACCAGTTGTGTAAACTTCCCTGGACTAAATTACATAAGAGCAGCTGTCTGCTGTACCCTGTTGTTGACAAACAGATAGCAGCATTAAGATAAGGTCTATTAACATAAAAGTAAGGTCAATAAAAACGCATAAGGGCATATATCAGATCCTGTGTATGTGACGCTTAATTTCAACGTTAGAGAGAGAGATTCCGTTCATCCAGTGACAGGGAATTGTGGCTGAAGATTTATTTATGTTACAGCTGTTGTGCCAGTGAGTTGTCAATTTAGCTAAACAGTAGAAGAGACATGGACATCATCTTTCTGAGGCTTGTTAGCTTCCATTTGCACGTTGTTACATCGCTGGGTAGGAGTGTACAGCATGTGCACTTACAAACCCGTAGCAGATAAGCAAAACACCAGCTGGTGGTAGTTCACAGCCTATATGTTCCTTAAGCACTTTATGTCCCTCTGGCAGAGAGCAAATAGTTGGCTAAGTTAGCACTGAGCCAAAAAATCAGGCCTTACCAGCATTCTGATCCCGCGGCCAGAGGTAATATGTAGCCGGGATAACAATAAGTCCGACGAAGGACGTTAGGAAATAGAAAAAGGTGTTGCCGCTGTCATCATACTGGAACTGTTGCCCGGCCATTTCGTAGCGGCGCTTTGGTCGCCGTTCTTCTCCACCGCTGCTCTTCCCCCGTCAGACCCGATGCTTGAGACCTTACAGACCGTTAGCTAGCCTGCTAGCATCCAGCCAAGAAAGCTCGATGCATCGGGTGTACGTGGTGTACGCCTGCGCAGTGTGGCCACTCTTCTTCTGTTGGATTTAAAGCGCGTTGTTTGACCGGGTGATACTGACACCCAGTGGCGACCCAGGTGAGCTTCTTTTTTAGTTTTACTGATGAGGGACACTTTAAAAGTGGGGTAAAATGAATATTTAATCAGGCAAAGGTCAGTTTCAAAAACTTTATTGATAGAATGTACGCATACTAACATATCTCTGTAAATAATAAGCAACTGATTGAAGAATTCCAAGAGTTAAGAGTTTTGTGTTACTATAGCCAAGAATAAATCGGTAAATGTTTCTTTATAAGAAAAAGCTTTTTGCTTTACTTTTTTTTCTTCACAACTGATTTTTTCAGATGTGTACGATGATATCATCCAGGTGCTTGCGTTTTAAGTCTGGAACTGTGGCGTCAGCAGCTGGATAACCTACAGGAAGGAGCATCAGCAGCTTTTCGTTTACCGGACGCTTAAGGAGGAGCCTGAGTTGAGGACCACAGTTAAGGGGAGTCGATGTGACAGTAACCAGACCTAAATTCTGCACAAATTTAAAGACAACAGAAATGAAAGTGCAAGTGCTGTTAGTTTAGATATAATAGTATCTTTCAAAAGACACACAAAACATTCAACTAAATTCCCCAAAAAATGCCTACAAAAGTACAGATGAAACTTAAAAATTTGATCAATGCTTCTTGAGCCCAGGTTGCTGCTTACCTGTAAGGCAGCAAGCAGAATCCCACATGATATGGAGACACTGATTTCATTGTAATAGTGTGTCTTTTTCTTTCCACCTGGCAGAATCCCATAGGTCTGTTTAAAGATTAGTATCAGGTATGGAGCAACATCCAAGTATTCCTTAATCCAGTTTGTTCTGCAAGAGTAATGACCAGTTGAGGTTTACAGATCATTCATAGTGTTGCAGGCTTTATACTAATAACTGTCAACTAGAAAGAAGGTCTGGAAGGAAAATATCCTGCACGTATCCTCCTGTTCTCTTTTTAAATGCAGGGATTGTGTAAGAGTGAGTGGGGTAAGCATGGATGTTCACCGTAATTTGGCCAAGTCTTGAACCCATTTATCTCCCATCCTCTGGCGGTAGTTCATCTCCTCTTCTTCCTCAACTATCAGCCTGATTTGGTGCTTCATCTCTGGATCCGACACCACAACAAATGTCCAGGGCTCTGTGTGCGCTCCACTGGGTGCAGTACCTTATCAGATGGAGCAAGAGCACCCATAAAAATGTAACGATCAAGGTCACTGCCTTTGGTTGTTATGTGCATTACAAATCTAAGTTTCATACCGGCGGTGAGTATGACGTTATTGATGACTTCACGTGGGACCGGCTCTGGGCTGATGAATCTGACAGACCTCCTCTGGTTCATCAAGGTGTAAAAATCCTTGGATCTCTGTAGACTTTGCTCCTCGGGGTAACGGGGTGGTGAGTAGGGCACGTGTGCAAGTTCCTCTTCCTCACTACTGTCCACCCATTCATCATCATCTTAAAAGACAACAAGACAAATGAGTGGCATGACAACGAGCTTTCTAAATGGATTAGTTCAGAGAATAATTTAAAAATCTGTTTATAAGAGCCTGAAGAATGCAAACTCTAATGTGACAGATAGAAAATACAGGTCATTCCTCCTGATTAACTTTTGATCTAGTTGATAAAAATGATGATACTAAACATCTGGAATCTGATTATGTAATGTGCACACCTGTATGACACAATTATATTTCTTCCAAACAAATTAATGAAACCTCATTATATTGTGCCTGTTTCATCAGAATCAAGTGTTCATTAAACCCATGTATAAGAGTCTCTAAATATGTTTTCATAGATTTACTGTTCAACCACTGAAGACGCTTTGGGGTTAGTTGAGCCCCTTTTGCCTTTGAAAAGTTGAAATGACTGGGGCCAACAATTTAATATTAGCTAATAAAGAAATCCCTCCTGAGCTCTCACCTTTTCCTCCGCTTGTTGTTTCTGTATCATCCTGCAAGTCCTGGTCCACCCACGGTCTGAAGTCCGTTTTGGACTGCCCTTTAGTGTTGGCCTTTGCTGTTGAGGTGGTTTCTGTCTCCCGGGATTTCAACAGCATAAAGCCAATCGCAATGCAGAGGACCAGCGCCAGGACTGGCGTGAGCACCGACAGGAGAGCCATGACCGCCTGAGAGCCCAGGCCAGGACACGGCCACTGCACTTTAGAGCTGTTCTACCTCGACTGCCTTGCAGACCTGATGATTCCAAACATCTGAGGTTAGCCTTTATGCTGAGTCAGAGCCAGAGGATCAGAACCAAGTCGCTTTCCTACCAAAAAAGAAAATGGCCACTAAGCAAGAAATCAGACCAACATAAGTGATTGAAGTCAGTGTTACAAAGTCCTGCTGGAAAGTTAATGTTCCACCTCCCAACATATTAAACTCTGTGTTGATACAAGCTTTTCCGCTGTTTAACATCAGGGTGATCAGTCAAAATAAATAAAATACATTTAATATATATGTATGTTCTAGAGGTTTTGGAATCTTTTTAAGAAATAAAAACATTGGGATTAACTCTGTATATTACAAGTTTTTTTTCTCCACATAATTTAACATAATAAACACACACAAACACTCACAAATCTGTTTAGATTTTGCATTATATGATTATAAGAACAGAAAATGTAAACTAAGTTAGTCATCTCTTACACAGCAGGAAAGTTCTCTATTTGGCCATAGCCTAGCTACTGTGTCTGTCTTTATCTTAGAGGCAATGATACAGAACAGTTTGTTCAGCATGAGAGCAACTCTGAGAGCAGGTATCAAGAGTGTGTGAACAGGGTGTGTTGAGATGGTGGGAGAGACATTAGGCTGGTAAAAACGACACTGCTAGGCGCTGATCATGTCTTTAAATCTTTATTTAACACAATATGAAAAAAATTGACATTGCGTACAGAAAATGTAAACAGATTTAAAGTCTGTGTAAGCAACTTTCTCTAGAAGTATTTGGGATGGATGCAGTGAAAAAGAAAAAATGCTGATACTATAGTCCACTAAAAATTACATTGGCAGGATTTATACTCCACCAGCAAGTTTCTGTGTTTTTTTTATTAGTATGAACAACAGGAGGCGCAACGGAGTCATAAACGGGCAAGGGGATATTATTTTACAGTCTTACAAATGCTTTTTGATCAATTTGGGTGTGTATTTCCAATTTGAATAATATTGTTATCGTTGTATTTGTGTATCATGCAAAAACCAATTAGCCGAATTGGCCAAACAGAGCAGATAATTGCAGGGTGGCAGAAGCAGAAATAAAATACCCTCTACTTAAACCCACCAGCGTCTGCTTGCTCCCCCTGGCGCACAGGTGCAGAGATAAATGCCATTGAGTGAAATCGAGCTATCGCACTGCAAGAAATAACCCCATCCAGCAGTAAAACTCCACGCCTCAACACCATTAGTCAAAGCTTAAACCTAAGAATTGCACAGCTGGTCCCACATTCAAATGATAAAAACTGCTAGAACATAAAGTATATCAGCTCCCTGCTCTCGATATATTAATCAGCCGATGACTCCTTGCGTATGAAAACATGATTTCATGCCATTTGATTTGAACCGGAGATAAGAGCTTCATTTCTTGCAGTGTTCGCTCCGCCTTCCTGCGCGTCTCCGGCGCTTTGCGCTTTAAATAGCAACTGTTTAAAAGCTCCTCACATTCTCCTGTCCGCCGTGCAGCACCGCAGTAACCCCCCCCCTCTCCCCACACCTTTTCATTCACACATTTCTTTGACAACCCTCATCTCGCCATGTCGGCCGCGAGCACCGAGCCCAGCGCGCCCCTGCCCGCCGCCGGCGGCCGCGTCTTCTTCCAGCCCGCGGCCGGGGTGGGCTGCGTGGGCTCCGGCCCCATCGCCGGGGACGACCCGGTGCAGAAGAGGCAGGGCAAAGTGACCGTCAAGTACGACAGGAAGGAGCTGCGGAAGAGACTGGTGCTGGAGGAGTGGATCATCGAGCAGCTCAGCGAACTGTACGACTGTGAGGTGAGTCCAGGAGAAGAGCCCCCATGCACGGTCAAGCCGGTGCTGCGTCCTTGGCACCGATGCCATCAAAAGCACATGGAGGTGGATGGGGGGGGGGTCATCAGTCATTTAAGACACTTTGCATAAGCATATTGATTAAAAAGCTAATTTACAGAGGACCCAAAATCTTGTAGCAAATGTTTTCTCCTGAATGTTGGTGTCTCTTTATCCTCAGCTGAATAAATGCCGGATTATGAGTTTTTTAGGGGGCTCTGGACGACAAGCTGTTTGGTTTCTGTGACTTTTTTTTGTACATTATCTGTTGCTACATGTTTTATCATTTCTGCAAATGATGGAAGTCGTTTAAAAAGGAGAGGGCAAGTGTTGGGGAAACCGAGCGCTTGCTCTTTTTTACGCACTGATCTCCTTTCTTTTAACAATCTTGTGATCCTTACAATAACCACTGTCTGCGTTCATTTGCATTCCCTTTTTTTGTTTCCACCGTAACTGACACGAATGTCTACCTCTCCATCACCATCCCCGGGAGCAAAATCCGAGCACCTCGTTTTATGCGTGCATTACAATGAATTAATTTGACGTTTTTGTGGCAGATGTCTAACCTGTTAAGCCATTTCCCACTTTTCCGGGGTGCGTGTGTTGCCGCGCGTTGTTGGCAGACAGATTATTGTGCACCACCACGCATTCTTTAACATTTAAAGATGGGTGAGTGCAGGATCCGTGTCGAACAGACTGGGGGGTGGGGGTCCAGAAACTCAGCCATTCGGTGGTTCATGCGAGTGTGTGCGTGAGTGTGCGTCTGTGCCCACTGCCACGCACAGTATGCTGCTGCTGCGCAGAGCCAAGTGGGGGGAGGGGGCCGGAGACGAGGAAAAGAAGGGCAGTGGGTTAAAGGATGTGCTGATTCTGTGACTCTTCTCACCAGCCAATCACTTTGCTCCTCGGATCCCTCTGCTTAACGCTGAGGGGTCCACACAAACAAATGGACGAGCGTGCACACCGGCCACACCGCGTGCCCCTCACCGTTTTACGTGCCCATGGCCCACAGATCAGACCATGGGGATGTGTGTTATGCAGGTGAAGGTGAGCTTAGACCTGCAACTGTTGGTGTGCACCAGTTTAATTGTTCACGCAGAGCAACTGAGCTGCAGACCTAGTGGAGCAGGGAAACTCCAGCACAAATCCCAGCAGGACACACACAGAATGTGTTTTTTTTGTGTGTGTATTGTCCCTCTGCTGACAGAGCGTTGCAATGCAAATAATTCTCCCCTGGACCGGAGTCAAATAGATTTTGCATTCTGTGTAAAGATCCAAGCCTCAGTTGTGCCCCCGCTGAAAAATGTAACCAGAGTTAATGTCTTTAGAGTCATCTAACATATGCTGATGTTGTGTTTTTACGATTCCTTTTTTTTTTCTCCAACTTTCTGTCATCTTTTTGCTCACCCCCCTCCTTCCCTATTAATGGTCCTTCTGTAGATCTCTGTCGAGCTGAGCAGAGCAGCGGCCTGTCTGAGCCTGGACTGGTTTAACATTTCAAAGCCGACTGAGCCCTTGGCTAAGTGTCAGGCTTTGGTCAGCAGATGTGCTTGATGCTTCTTCCCGCTGACTGTTTTGAGCTATTTGATGTTTCGAGTGCACCGGTCCAGCGCTGTCCTCAGTTTGAACTGATTTAGCTTTTCTCTTCCAGCAGAGAGGCTTACATTTGTTTAACACAAATAACAACTTAGTCGGATAGTTAAGATGATTGTTAATAAAAAACAAAAACAAAAGATTATAGGATTTTTACACTGTGTTTTGTCATGGGCACAAAATAATTTTGTTTTTCAATTTATTTCTCAACGCAGATCTAGCTACAGTCTCTATGTAGTCCAGATATCCGAATGGATAGCCAACAGCAGCATGACACCCACTCATGGTATGTCTGTCACACTCCAAATGAGATAATATCTCATGAGAATTCCCTGGCTCCCTTACCAGTCTCATTCTGTGCCCAGTTCTGGAATAAGCACAATGTTACTGACAAGTGGCTGGCAGCCACTCAGGGAAAGCAGGTACTGAAAGAAGCATATGATGGTTATGACTCTTTACAAAGTCATGTCATCAGCTCATCTGTCTTCTCGTTAGTGAACCGGAAGAGTGTTTGAGCAGGCATTTTTTTATTTCTTTACTCATGATGTTTGCTCACATGACTGTAAACAGGAAATCACTCCCGCTACATATCTGTAAATACCTCTATGCTGAAACTCAAGATAGACAGGGATTGTGTGTGTATGTGTGTGTATGGGTGTGTATGAGTGGGTGTGTGCGAGAGGGTCAGAGATGCAGAGAAGAGGTTGTTGATTTGACCATGCTGGTCTGGCTTTGAGGTCAGCGTCTGTATCAGTTTCATAGGAAAACCTGATACTAAAGTGGAGGGCATCGCAGAGGTGTGTGTGGGGATCGTTGAGAGACTTGTTCAGGTTTGATGCACAAAGGGAATGGAACGGGGAATACATTAAAGTGGATTGAAGTGGATTTAGCTTTTTCACATAAGAGTTTAGATATGAAGTCCAGTTGACATGTTGGCTAAAATAGAAAAATAGCAGATTTTTACAGCTAAGAGATAAATTGGAGGGGGTTTAAATTATGCAAAAATGAATTTACACCGGCTGTTTGGCTAAACCCAAAATGAACAAAGTCCACCTATCTGGACCTAAAGTAAGTGACATGTTGTATTGGTTTTGTACAATCGTGATTTGGTGGCTTATAGGAGGCAATTTCCTGGAGGAAAAAGAAATGCATTTATTTTACACAGATTGAGTAAACAAGATACAATGTGATAATGCATTTCAGGGCTGCTGGAAGGCAGATTATGCTGCTTTGGCACAAACATAAAGCAGAACTAATGCAATCACTACCATTTAGTTTGTTTGCTACAGTTTTTAGCCCTCCTGTGAGCAACTGACCATCACTTCCGTGTTTTTCTTGAACTAAACGCAGCAATAAAAAAGGAAAAAGAATACAATAAAAGATTGTCAGTGATATGGAGGACATCAAATTTGCTGATGTTCCAGAAGTGAATTTTCTTCTCTGAAACACAGTCACCTCACAAATGATGTCAAGTGTGCATATATGGATGTTAAATGTGGTAGTGTACAATTCAGGATCAG